TTCCCATGATACAGGGTAGCTGGACTAATCGTTCATTCGCAAGAAGGCTTTGTAGCATATTATCACCGAGGGAGTGCATCGATGGCTTGGTGGCAGACATATTCGAGCGAAGTAAAAAATCCTGATTCTTGTGATACAATCCGACCATATGGAGCGATTTATGTAATTGATATGACAAGTAATGAGATGCCTTCGGAATGACAAAGTAAGCAATTTTACACGTAATTAGAGAAGTCGAGGAGAAATCTGAGTACAAAACCTAAGACAGTATTAATAATATTCATAATTCTTGCATTAGTTGATTTTTTTTTTCAAGATTTTGCAGACAATTTCGTGGTCAGCACGATTTTGGACTGAGATGGTGGATGAGTTGCCTCGACATTGAAGTCGTTATTTGTTACCGTGGCGAAGATGTTCTTGACAAGAAGTTTTGTGTCAATGTTTTCATTGTTAATAACAATGGGAGGAGTTGGTTCGGTGGATCCCGATCCAGAAAAAATAGCTGGATTATCGGAAAATGGAGTAGCACGTGGCTGAGTGAGGTTATTCGCGGGGTCTACGAATCCTATTTTCTTTATCTTCGTTTTTTTCCTGTAGGACTCATTGCATTTTTTCCTTTTAAAGGTAGCAGAAATGGTGTTGTTAATGTTTCTATTCACTATGAGGTGGTTGTGGGGGTAGTAATATTAACTAGATGCAATATTCCAACGGTTGAGATTAAAGTCAGAAACGCTAGAATAGAGATGGCACAGAACCCGTCCGTGCAGCTCGAGACTCCGAACGAAACTGGAACCTAATACCTAACTCTTGTAGTAGGAGTATAAAAATTACTTCATAAATTTCAGTGAGTTATTTTTGCGCAGTTCTGTCCTTCGATCAATTGATAGATAAGTAGATTACTAATGATTCCCGTAATTTGTTTAATTAAAAAATAATGGCAATCATAATTGCAATTATTAGTTCCATAGCGAACGCCTCCTTTCCCGAATTGTTCAATTATTATTCACCTGGTCTCAATGAATGATAATTTCGATAAAATTTCAACGCATTTCATTGCTTAATGTGGAATATAATGTAGTTATATTCAATGATTATTTTAAGTGACGGATATTGGGGAAGCTACGTAGGGCCCATGAATAGCCATTGATCGACAAACGAATATTTATTCAATGGATTGGGGCTTTAACATTGGACCAGCATCGCTCCACCAAATCTCGTTGGATCGATGTGGGCCAATATATTGGCGGAATGTCGAACCGCCGAGTATCGGCGAACGATGCTGGCCAGTGTACGGGCCAAGCATGCGAAAACCGAGTGTTGATTAATAAATGCGGGCTAATATATTAGCCAAGTCTGCAGGCTCGGAAATTCCTACACGGGGTGGAGAGTTATCATAATAGTCCTGACTGCATGATGGTCCTATTAATCATTATTTTGTATTGTTTATATTGTTTGACCCTGCTTATCGTTTGAACCTTGGAAGTTACGATTTTTACCCTCGTGAGGAATTACCCTTTCAGCACACAATCCTCCCGATACGAAACCGCAGGGCATATTTCCACTATTTTGAAAGGCTTTTCTCAACAATCTCGTTTCGCTCAATACCCCAGTACTTGGATACAGTTCAATTTGTGAAAAATGTGGTTTACTGAAGAGTTGTTTCTATTTGTCAGTCTCTATTTTGTCTTCGACATATATTGCGTTCGCGCCTCTGTACTGGAGCGAACAGATTGTATTGTTTTCTGTCCTCAACAGGTCTGCCTTTGGACTTGTTCTGGGGGAAGGAAGAAGGGGAAGCGGAGAAAGCTGATAAGAGAGATGACGAGAAATATAGTGTCGATGGCGAGCCGCAGTAGCACCCTGACGGGTACAGGAGCCGACCAGCAAGGCCCTACTTTGCCCGCCGAGTCCACCCCGGAACATCTCATGCCGTACTCCGCCAGGCAAAACAAGGCGAGGAGAATGCCCAGGAATTGCCCTTGAGGCTGCCAACCCTGGTAGGTAGCCATGCCCGAGTGCAACGTCTCCTGTTCCGAGAATCACGAGATTGACCTGAATTGTATCATTTTATATGAAGGAAATTAGAAACAGAATGAAGAAAACATGCAAGTCCCATTGATCTCCCACCTTAGCACCGGTTCCTCAGGAGGAACAGTTAGCAGATAAGAAGAAACACAGCCGAAGAGTAAGCAGGAACATCAAAGGGGCCTGTTAGCGAAGCTAACAAATATCAAAATCGCGAAAAAAGAAAGAGCCCCAAATTTTAAATCTTTAGAATGTACATAATTCTGAGTTGACAGAACCGAGGTTTGAATTGATCCGATATTCAGCCATGATAGAGACTCCCGTTCTTACGATTAGGTTATTCAACGTCTTTTGATGATCCTGTAGTAAGGGCGGGTCGAGTTAACGTCAGTAATTCGGTTGTGATCGATAACTCGAGCGAGAATTCGTATCAAGAATCTCCAGAACATTTGTGCGGATTTCGGAAGTGCAGTGCAAAGAATCGCTATCAGAGCTATCTAAATACTTTTTCTTCATACCTCGGTCAAAAGTACGTACTTCCTGCGGTGATTTCGAAGCAGAAAGTCTAAGTTTGTTGCATTAGTCAAGTTGCGGATCTCCTCTCTACAACAGCGGGAGTAAAAACTTACTCGTGTGCACTGATACTCAATACACACGAGTCTCCCATGATATTCCATCCCTACCGTTGGCGTCAAATTGATCATCTCCCCCATAACCTTATAGTAAAAAATGATCCATATTTCCTGTAATTTACAAACTTGAAATATATTTGACGTTAACTCTCTATAGATACGTTTATACCTGAATATTTCTTTTTTTATGTGTACTTGTAACTTGTAAATAATATAGATTTTCACAGGATATGTTGAAAATTCATTGAGGAACAGGCAAAAAATTTTTGACAACATAACTCATGCGGTTACATCCAACGCTCAATCAAACCCCCATCCACATAGTAGAAACAGTGCAGATAACGTGAATATGGGACAGGAGTTTGAAATAGATAATGAGACTCTAGCAGCAATCGAAAAATCGGCTCTATCTGAGATACCAAAATCAACGATGCCTTCTTTTACTACAGGAAACCACCAACGAATAATTTTAAATTCCAATCGTCAATCCACAAAAACGACACCTTTCCTGAAAAAACCACCGATTTCTGTTTTTTTCGCGTGGAATCGAAAATGAACCGCTAATTAAAAAAAATAAAGTCGAGAAAATTACAATTCAAACAAATAACCAGACTTCGGAATTCACTAATTCATCTGCAAATAATAAACCCAAGCGTAATATATCATAACTGTGTATTTAATGGCAATATTATTAAAAATTTTAATTCCGCAAATAGTAAAGAGGAACATAACGGAAAAAACACTTGATGTGTTAGAAAAGATTCAAAGCAAATTATTTAAGTTTTTAGTATCCGTATTTTATTGTAAAACACATTAAATATTAAGATTTCATTATTCTTTTCAAAAAACTATTACGAAGTTACGAGTATAAAACAGTTGAAAATAACTTTTATAACCCAACTAATATAATTGTTCTGGTTATGATACAAATATAAGATGTTGATAAAATAAAAATTGTGTCGTCCAAAAGGGTGTACATATAACTTCATTTCTAAATTTATTTGGTTAACGCCTGCCGACGACCAGCAGCACTCGCTTCGCTCATGCAGCAAATGTCGGGGCAGGCATCAATATACCTTTCGATACACGCGGAAAAACCGTCCGTACTTTCGGCCGACTATGAAAAAAATAGTATACACTACATGGGCTGATATTTGAAATCCCGGAACAGCGCGTCATGATGCCCTCGACTTCACCTAAGAGGATGAGTGCATAACTGTAACTGTAACTGTAACTGTAACTGTAACTGTAACTGTAACTGTAACTGTAACTGTAACTGTAACTGTAACTGTAACTGTAACTGTAACT